TTGTTGTCGGTTAGGTCGAGCACCCCCCAGCCCTTCCTCGTTGGCGAGACACCAAGGTGAAGGCCCCAGCGGACCTTCAGCGCCAACTTCCCGCCACGCTGCTGCTTGAGGACCATGAACTGCACCATGCAGCCCCACACGCGTGCCAGCGTGAGGTCCGGTTTCTCTTCGTACAGCAGATCGTACTGCGTCGTCCCCGGCAGCAGCGAAGCCCGCTCGAGGTAGTTGCGCACCCAGACGGCCTGACAAAGGGTGAGGTGCCTCCAGTGGTGCTTCACGCCCATGTGAAGCAGCATCGTCCCCATAGCCTCAACGACCGTGCGCATCTCCCATTCGGCCATGTCGTTCTGTTGCGGCGTGTAGGGGCACGTCAGGTCGTGGACGATGATGCCTTTGTCCTTGACGAAGTCGGTGAAGGCGTGACCGAGGAACTCCCCTTCGTGGTCAGAGCGCAGCATCTTCGACGTCTGTCGCTCCACTATTTTCAGCCACTTCTTGAACACTATCAGGACGTCGTTCTTCTTGGCAATCGGCCGCACCCACACATAGCGGGTCTTCTTGTCCTTCAGCAAGAGAAAGAAAAGGCTGCCATCCTTGGCGGCCACGTGGGATGGCCCGCAAAGGTCGACGTAAACGACAACGAGCGCATTCTCGGCTCCCGAACCTTTGTCGAGGAAGGTGTGCCGAGCCAGTTTGTCGCCGACGCAGGAGACACGCAGCAGGTCGGCTCCCGACGACGACTTGATGTCGAGGCCGGCGGCGACCCCATGCGTCGTCGAGCTCTTGATCGTGTCGACGCCAACGTGCGCGAGCTTGGCGTGCCACATGTCCAGTGTCGACTTCGTCGCCGAGGTGATCGTCCGCAGAGCCACCGTCACCGTCGAGGCCGACGTCGACTTTGTCGAGCAGGGGCGAAGGTCGGTGCAAAGGACCCGGCCGGTGTAACGCGCTCGACCAAGCACAACCCCTGTCGTCGAGACGAGGAGCATCTTGTCCTAGTCGTCCTGCAGCTTCACGCTGCTGTCCTTCAGCTGGCCGGCTGACTGCAGATTCGCCTGCACTCACGGGACGTACAGCACATCGGGGACGAGGATCTGCTTCCTAGCCTCCCCTCGCAGAACGACGATTCCTCGGCCTAGGACGACATAATTCGCCCCGTTCAAGCTGCGCACGTGGCCGATGTTGCCCCCGGGCTCCATGTCGACGAAGGCCTCCCTCGTTCCCATAAGATGATGGGAGCAGCCGCTGTCAAGGAGCACCACAGTCGGGTTCGCCTGCATGGCAGTGGTGATCGCCTGGTTATCGCCACCGGCCTCTGGTGCCAGCGAAATCGTTGGCTCCACTACGCCGGCCATCGAGCACGAGGCCGCTCCGTCGTCGCGTGCATTTCCGCTGGAGGAGTCGGCATCCTTCACGGATGACGTCTGTTTTGACGCCTACTTCGTTAGGTTGGTTGTCCCGACGTTGACGTCTGCCGTCGGACTTCCAGCAGCTTCCCTTCTGGTCGTCGTTGGACTCCTCGCGGTCGGGACAGTCATAGGAGAGGTTGCCAGGGTCGCCACAGATTCAACACTCACGCCGTCCTTGGCGTCGTCCCCCGCCACCACGATCGTTGTCCCGAGCCGACATCATGGGGTCAACTTCGCCAGCCGACTTGCTGTTCGTCGGCTTGCCACCTCCTCCCGACCTCCCTCGTTGCCCCTGCTTCGTCGGGGCTACGTAGTTGGCCTGCAGAAGGAGCTCCGTGGGCCGCTCGGAATCGTGCATGAACTCGTCTTGAATGATGTGGCTCGACAACGAGTCCTCGTTGAGCATCTCGCGCATGTGGGGAAGTGCCAGCATCCGGCGCATCAGCAAGTCGGCCAAGATCCGCCGAGCGCGGTTGCAGTACTCTGTCGCCGACTCCTGCTTTCCCATCCAGATGTAGGTCAACCGGTGCTCCGATGTACAGTCGTCAGTCGCGTTGTAGGTGCGCAAGATAAACTACCTCGCTTGGTAGCCGGCGTCCACCCGATGTCGGCACAGCTTCAAGGCGACTTGCACCATCGACGAGCAACACCACGAGAAGGTCAGCAGGTGGGCGGCGCGAAAATCTGACCAGAGCTCGGCGTCGGCCTCGTCCGGCGTCTAAACGACGCCGTCGGTGAACTTCTTCAACCCCGCAATTTCCAGCTACGACTCAATCGTCTCCGTCCAGGTGATCAGGTCGTCTCGACCTTCCAGCAGCTTGGGCACGACAATTTTGTCCGGAAAAAAACTTGAGATAGCCATACGCCGGTGCGATACCTCCGTCCCGGCCAGCCGACAAGTGGGTCGCCGTAGTCGGCCAGATTCCACTGCGCTGGGGAGAGCAATGTCGACCACCAACGTCGCCGCGCGAGCTGCCTGCAGTCGCCATCAACTGCGGTACTTGTGCCTACGTTACGCCGGCGTCGACAAGTCGACCTCCAGCGCAATACTAGGACAACTTGTCAGCACTGCAAGTCGGCGGCTTGCCAACACTGCAAGTCGGAGACCTGCCAGCGTTGCACCAGGGCGGCTTGCCAACGCTGCAGCAAGGCGACCTGCCAGCGTTGCAACCGTAGGTGACTATGTGCGCATGTGCGCACATGCGGGTTGACGGTTGAGTACGTTGTGCACCGTCACGCAGATTGCGCAGGTGCCAAGTCGGCCACGTACCGACGGTTGCGCCATATTTGCCACGTCGACCTCATGATACCGGCACGCAAGTCGACTTCGCCATAACCGCCTGGACGACGTTCGCGCACCTCCGCAAATCTTCGTCGACCAGGTAACGCTGTCGATCAGGTGAGGCCAACGGCGCTCACAAATCGACGCCCGCACGTCGACGACCTTCGTCGTTGACTGCCGAAGCCCAGCACTGCCCGCCGACTTCCTGTCGTCAGTCATGTCAGAGGTCCACTGGAGATCCCCGATTGATCCTAGGGAAGGGTTACAGGCTCGTTGTCCTGGGGGGTTATGGGCGCACTGACCCGCTACTTAACAAGCCCTTTTATCCCAGTGGTCTAGTGGCTGGGATTCTGACATGGTATCAGAGCGAAGGTCTCGGGATCGAATCCCAGTGTGTGCACTTCGGGCATCCCAGTGCGGGGGGGTGTCAGAGGTCCACTGGAGATCCCCAATTGATCCTAGGGAAGGGTTACAGGCTCGTTGTCCTGGGGGGTTATGGGCGCACTGACCCGCTACTTAACAAGCCCTTTTATCCCAAGGGTCTAGTGGTTGGGATTCTGACTAGTCAGCGTCGAAGTCGGCTTCGCCGAGGTCGGCCTCTACTGAGGTCGTCGACCAACTTCGTCGACTTCCTCCTTCAGGTCGACGCCCACCACGTCCAGCCGGCCGCACACCTTGCGCACCGGTCAGTGATGTCGGCTTCGCTCAAGCGAGTGTGGGGCCAGTTTCCCGTTAACATGAACTAACAGAGTGCGTGGAATGATTGAATAACGAGACAGTCATTAAACGTATTGACTCGATCTTTTAGGAGAAATCATAGTTAGGCGGGGTCGTCGGGTAGATGAGGCTCGAAAGTTGGAGAACGGTGCGGGGGTGACCTGGGGTGGTTTGGGGTGAAATTGTAGGCTGAACCAGCTGAGGTGTGGCCGTCGGAAGTGTTCCAGCTAATAACCTGAATTGTAATTCCTTAGATTTGTCCATTCTCGTAACCTAATTTATTATTGTCAATATGCGGTTGTCGAGTCTGGAGGTAATGTGTGCGCTGACTTTCCACGAACCCATGCTTCATGACTCGGCAGCAGCTGTTTCGACGAAAACGCTACACGTGGCAGCAAGGAAACTCCAGTCACGGAGCGCGTTTGCCTGTGCCTTTAGGGGGGAAAGGGATGTTGGGCTCTCTGACGTGACGTCAGCGCCTCTGCACCTCCATGGAAACCCCAGGCAAGCCTGCAAGCAAACACTGTCCGTGCGGCGGGCCCTTCGACCAAACCTGTTTGTCGAGAATTTTGCTCAAATTCGCGGAAGCGCGGATCGTTTTATTTTCGTCACGTGGCAAGCCTTCGATCGCGCGAACCGCGATCTGTTTTATTGTTCCCACAAAGTTCAAGAGAAACTTAGTTAAGTTTTGTAGCGCGCTGCCCGCGGGCAAAAATAAAACCCATCCGGGCATGGCATGCGTTAGGGAGGCATCAACCCTAAACACCTTGCCTCTATGTGTTTAGGGTTGATGCATCCCTAACGCATGTTTTTCCTATAGGGGTTTTATTTTTGTCCACGGGCAGGGCAATACATGTGATTCACTAAGCCTAACTATATTTCTCTTAAAAATTGTGGGAACAATAAATCAGATCGCGGTTCCCACGATCGAAGGCATGCCACGTGGCGAAAATAAAATGAACCGCGATTTCACGGGATTGAGCGAAACTCTCCTGTTTGTCACATTTGCCTCTGCCTCAGGAAACCGCGCGTAAGGCCGTATCTAAATTGTTCATCGGCTGAGATCGAATTTCGTTTCATCTTCTGTCCAGGTTTCATCTGGACTGGACTGTGACCTGTATGGAATGAGGACCAACAATCACTGGACCCATTTTCAATTCAAAATTAACCCAGTCGCGGACGAAACTTTGTGTTGGTAAAAACCTTTCGACGGACCCAGTTGAAAGCGTCGTTGTTTTGGTAATGTGGAGCTGCCTACCTTGCCGGTCTGCATCCACAGCTGGCAAGGACGTGGAAAGGCACAGGCTGACTCGTCTGACCTAGGAAACGGAATGCTGAAGCCTATTTAGGCAAACCCGAGAACCTCCGCCAACGTCACATCCAACAAATCATTCCTCGTCAAATTCCTTGTTCTCGAACCCTATGGCTTTTCCCGTCGGTCAACCTGCTAGTGATACATTCTACGACTCAACCGTATCGTCACCTCGTCGTCGGCTCCTGCCGTCAATCTGGGAATCGCGTCGATTTTTTGGCTGGATGACTCGCGACACGCCGTCCGTGCTGCTGCTTCTCCCCGACGGCGGCGTGCGCCTCTACCCCAACGCGGTCACCGCGCCTGCCCTCCGTGGCGAGTTCCCCGGCTGCGACGTGTGCTGCGCCATGACCATGCACCCGGTCACCTCCTCCTCGCCGCTCGAGCCAGGCCGCACGTACGTGTTGGTGGAGCACCGCTGCTCCGCGCATTGCCGCCATTGCCGAGGCACTGCCCCCCTTGCTGACCGCTGCGTGCGCGCGCCGCCATCTCCCTCTCGCCCATGCAGCTCCGCCGTCCTCCGGTGCGACAGCCCCGCGCGGCCAGCCTCCGGTCCCCTCCGCCCTGCCTCCTTCCCGCCATCCGTGGCGCCGCAATCCGCCGGGCCGATCTTCAACGGCCACCGCTCGCGCAGCGCCACGTTTATTCGCGGCACGGAGCGCCCCGCGTACGCGCTCGCCATGGGCGGGCTTGCTTTGAGCCCGTCGTGTGACGCTCGGCCTCCCGCGGCGGAGACGAACGCGCAGGGAAACACACACGGGGCTATGGCGCGCGCGGACACGAGCTGGTGGGAGGAGGAGACGGACAGGCGCGCGCACATGATGCGATCCCAGAGGCGCACGAGCGGACACAGCGTGGCGCATGCGCTGTGCGACCATGGCTTGGAACACGCGGAGGTGCAAGGGCAGGGTGGGGCGAATGGGTGGTGCGATGGCGCCAGGCAGGGTGCGCGGGAGGCGGTGCAGGGGGGGACGGGGAGCATGCGCATAGCAGGGCGGGTTAGCGTGGCAAGCAATGGCGTGCAGCAGCATGCTGCGAGGCGGCAGAGGGGCGCGGCACCGGCAGCGTGGCAGGGGTACCAGCGCGCACTGATGCGATCTGGAAGCATGAGGCAGCACAACAGAGCCGACAGCGTGAGAAGCTGCAGTAGCGTGGGCAGCAGCAGTGCAACTGGCGGCAGCTTCGGCAGCAGCAGCCGCAGCAGCAGCAGTCGCATGAGCAGTGGCAGCAGCATGTGGATGGGTTCAACAGTAGGGCGCTCTGCATCCTCCCGACTTGGTACCATCTCTGCGTGCTGCTCCTGACCAAGCTGCGATTGACTGCTGTGTGCGCAGGCCCGCAGGGACTACCCAGACCCAGCTTACGTGACGATAGTGCTGCGTTTAGGCAATGCATTCAGACAGTGCCTTGTTTAGCTACGGAGGGAGATATGAAACTTGGACAGTTGATGTGTTAGCACACAGTTCACGTATGTGCATACGAGTCCTAATAAAGCTAGTTAAACAATAACCAGAATGGCCAGGAACGTGTTTCTTGAGGAGCCAGAAGCTGCTGGCAGTTCTTATCTCTTTGCATGTCCCTTCTTTGTCTGTCGCTTGTTTTTCTTGAATCTTCGTTTCTCTAGGGAATTTCCTTTCCTCTTCTTGTCCTTGCCTTGGATGCCCCCTCCATTGCCCTTGCGCTTCCTCTGCTTCACCTTGGGCTGCTCCATGGACCGTATGGGCAGTGAATGCGACAGCGCAGAGGGGTGCATCAGTGGCAAGAGAGGCATGGGTTAGAGCAGGAAGTTGAAGGCTTCGTTCCTTGCAGGTTGCAAGCCAGATGCTTGTTGCATGTACTGACGTGGCATGAGCGCGGGTGCCTCGCTGCTCTCACCAGCTCGTCAAAGCCACTGAGGCTGCCATGCTGTCGGTGGCGCCACCCCCCTGGTCGCCCTCATCGACACAGTCCACGTGGCGCACGACACCCCCACGTGAGGACGCTGCTGGGAGGGGGGAGACACACCCGTGCACACGCACACACTCCCACACATGCATGCACACATGCACACTCGTGCACGGACACTCACACACACACACATGCACACACACACAAACTCACATGCACACACCCACAAGCACACATGCACACACACACAAGCACGCATGCACACACACACACACACTCACACACACACTCACACACACACACATGCACACATACACGCACACACAAACACACACACACACACACACACACACACACACACACACACACGCAGGCAGGCACACGCACACACACGCAGGCACGCACGCACGCACGCATACACCAGACAGCTTAGTGCTGGAGTAGCTCGGCCGATGTTGACACGCGGCGATGCTCATTGACCACGCCTGTCCTTAACCCCATCCCATCCCTCTTGCTCCTTCCAACCTCAAACCCCGCATGTACCTATCCAACCTCGCCCTTCTCACGCTCCTATCTCGTTCTTTTCCACTATCCAACTATCCCCTTGTCCCTTTCTTCACTTCTCCCTCATCCCCTCCCTCGCCTTCCAGTCCTCCTGTCCCATGCTTCCCTTCCTCGCTTTTTCTTGGCCGCCCCACATGCACGCCCACCATCTCTTTGGTCAATGCCCCCAGTATCCCACCATCGCACCCCATGCATGTGCGCTACTTGCTCCCTGCGCACATCCCCTCCTTCCCCCCTCCCGCCCTCCCGCACACCGACCGCGCTCTACGACGCGCGCCCCTCACCGGCCACGAGCGTCGCCTGCGCGTTCCGCACCGCCACCTCCACCAGCCGCGGGTCCAGCGCCCCCCTCTCGCCTCCCTCGCCCCCCTCGCCGCTCGCCGCCAACCGCCGCTGCAGGAACCGTGACAGCGCCGCCGCCTTGTTCGTCGCCAGCGGCCCCCCGGGGTGCGCCTGCCTGCGACGGGGGGAGGGAGGCGGAAGGGGGAGGGAGGGGGGGGAGGGAGGGGGGAAGGACGGGCGACAGCAAGGGAGCGACGGGGTTGAGACGCAGGCGGTGAACGTTGGGAGCGATAAGGGGTAAGAGCGACGACTCACCGTGCGGCCGCTGCTGCTGCGGAGTGCGAGGAGCGCGGTGGACTGGGAAGTCGCGCCGCGGAAAATCGACTGGCGCGATTGCGAGGAGCGCGGTGAGCGCGGAAAATCGACTGCTGCGGAGTGCGAGGAGCGCGGTGGACTGGGAAGGGCTCGGCGCTCGTCGTCCGTGAGTTGTTCTATTTCCGATACTCGCTGCATTGGCCGCGCAGTGGCGTGTGCGCAGACGAGGCAGGGCGAGGAGCACTTGTGGTCAGAGAAACGAAGAGCGGAGGAGATGCGTACTTTAGCAGAGTGGGATTGGCATTCGTTTGTTGCTCGAAAACCTAACCTAACAGCTGAGTTTACCGTTTAGATTGTATTCCTGGATGCATTCCTGGATCGACATCCTGTCTGCACCTTTGCCCAACCTCGCGTCTCAATCCGTGAATGTATTGCGACTAGGCATGAGCAAAGAGCCGAGCCGCAGTTAGGTTCGGCGCGGTTCGGTTCGCTACGAACCGAACCTCAGCCTTCTTTTGTTCAAGAGGTTCGCCACGGGCCGAACCGGTTTGTCATCGAACCGGTTCGGCGGTTCGACCGGTTCGGTTTTAAGCATATAACTAGGGGCACAGAGGGGCGGGAAGGGGTTACGAAAGGTTAAGAGGGGCTAAAAGGGCCGATTCGGTTCGGTTCGGTTCGGTATTCCTGCTATATTACCGAACCTCGAACCGGCTTGAGACCAGAACGGTTCGGAATGAACCGGTTCGGTTCGAGCACGAACCGGTTCGGTGAATGAGCTATAGTGGTCGAACCGGTTCGGTTCGGTACTTTGCTCATGCCTAATTGCGACACTGCGCGACCAGGCGATATGTGCAGTTGGGAGAGTCTGATTGGGTGTCCAAGAGAAGTTTCGGGTAGAAAGAGATATGGGTGGTGAGGTAGGAGGGGGTGTGGTTTCGGCGGGATTTTTTTGCGCGTGGTAGTAATGACGCGCAGGGTCACTTTCACGTCGCTTTTGGGCTGCCCGAGGCCTCGATGTAATTATTCCGAGTGGTGTCCAGGTGCATGTAGTGGGGTCAGACATTTCGAATCGCGTGCGAAATGTAGACCGTGACGGGTCATCTTGCAACTCGTTCGCGACGTCAGCGTGTTCCATGCTGGCTAATGTAAAATACAGTGCTGGTCGCATGAAGGCGACACGCGTCTGTGACACAATACATTTTATGCTGTTTTTGGGCGTCACAAAAGTCATTGGGACACTTGTGTCGATCCAGGAATGCACCCTAAGGGTGCATTCCTGTGGGGACACAAGTGTCTCAATCCCCTTTTTCCCGAGTCGCGTCGAAACATTTTGTCAATCTCGCGTCACAAAAAATGAATGTATCGCGACTCTAGGCGACCAGGCGAAATGTACAGTTGTGCGCATTTGATTGGCTGACACAAATGTCTGTACATCCCTTTTTTCAACCGCTTGGCTGCGGTGTAGTTTCGACGCGCGGGATTTTTTCCCGCACGAAATTGGCATTGCAGGCTGTCCAGGTGCATTGACATTTCGAGCCGCGTGCGATTTTTTCAAATTGACGAGTCGGATTACAATTCGTCAGCGACGTCAGCGCGTTTCACGCTGACCAATAAAAAATACAGTAATGGTCGCGGAAAGGCGACTCGCAATTGGGACACACTACAGTTTATGCTGTTTTTGTGTGTCACAAAGCGATTGAGACATTTGTGTCCCCACAGGAATGTACCCTAAGAGGATTATTCAATTTCAGAAGTAGCACCTTACTTCGTGCAAGGAAAATAACTTTTCCTTACTTCGCGTCACTGCATACTGCGTACATGACGGTTCCCACAACAGTACCCCAATAGTAATCCGTTACCGCATCGTGCACTCGCCTCGACCACTATTCCCGCCAATGTTCCCATCGCACCCAAGCCTCACGGCTCGGCTGGTGGAAACCCGCGACCCGGCCCTCCGCCTCGACAAATCCCAACCTCGGCGCTCGGCCCGTCGCGCACGTCCACAATTGCTACTGCTGAGCCAGCCCGACACCCCCGCCATGGACGAAAACGCCCGCACTCCGCTCGCGACTATGACGCAAGAGCGTCTCGACGAAATTATGCGCCAACTGGAAGAATATGCGCTCGAGATTGCGGCATTAACGGCGGAGCGCATTCGGCACGACAGCATTCGACTACGAATGCACCAGCACAAACTGAAGAACCGATCGTCATCTCTTCAGGAACACCATCGCATCACGATAGCGTGGGACAGCGCTCAGGCGCCGCCCAATCCATGCTGGGCATGGAACGGACCAGGGAGGCACCGGGCGTGAACACACCTCGCGAAGCCTGTCGCCATGTCAGTATTGCGGCACCCGTCGGCAACAGCGACATTGGTGAGCCGATGCCACGTAAGCCACAGCACCCGCCCTGTTTCGATCCTAGCCAGCGTGGAGGTCTGACGGTTCGCGTGGGTGTTCACGACGAACGAGTTTTCTTACGCGAATTATGCCACGTCGGATGCAGCGAAGATTCGGTACGCCGTTTCATTGCTGCGTGGGCCCGCCATGGACTGGTGCCGAGTTATCGTAACTTCGCCAAGTGACTACGAGCCAGTGACGCAAGGGGAAAGGTCATCGGGGCCGGCTGTCACCAGGAGTTTGTTCTGCGAAGTCGCCCAATACCGCACGTGGGATGCGTGGTGCCCAGGGCTACGGGCGCGCTTCGATCCGATCGTGGCTTCGATCTCAGCACGCAAGAAGCTGCGCTCTTGGCGATAGCTTGGGTCGGTTCAAGACTACACCAGCGGTTTTCTCGCGCTATGTGAACATGTCGGCTACGTGCACGAAGCGGAGCAAGTGGATCGGTACGTCGGCGGCCTGAAGCCGGAAAGATTTTGCAGTCATTCTATAGGAGATAAGGTCGATAGACGTGAGGGAAACAGCCCAGACCATCAGCGAAGGTATCTAAATAACATTAAGTGTAAAAAGAAGTTGATATACTATTACAGCTTGGAGGTTGGCTTAGAAGCAGCCATCCTTTTAAAAGTGGTAACAACTCACTGTCTGAAGTACGAACGAGAATGAATGAACTAGCAGCAAGATGGGTACAAGTAGCAAACCCTAATTGGGTTGTACCCCATTTGGGCTACCCCACTATAGCCTACACAACATGCAGCATATAAGTTTGACACACCCCCATAGGCAAAGTGGGGGAGAACAAGGGGTCACAAGACCGGTCAAGAAAAGCAAAGCAAGCTCAGGGTGGATCACGAAGTCACCACGCATTCTGAGCACAAGCAAATGGCCACAAGGCCAGTTCACATGCAGAGTTATATAAAGGAGAACAAGCAGTACAGTGATCACAACCTAGCAAGTGTAAGCATGCACGTATAGGTATATTGATCACAGTACAAGCAAAGTCAAGAAGTGAGCAAGTGAGACCAAGTAGGCACAAGGCCTAGAACAGTACAGAAACGCTGATGATCACAAGGCTGAAGTGCCTTGGTGAAGATATCAGCAGTGTTGGCCCGAGAGGCCACGTAATCAAGACGAAGCTGACCATGGTGCTGCAACTCTCGAGCAAGGAAGTAGCGCAGAGCGATGTGCTTCGTTATGTGCTCCAGTCTGTGCTCCTGACACAAGGCAATCATAACCTTGTTGTCGACGTACAGAACTGGAGGAGAACGAGGCGGCTCTCCCAAGTCGGTCAGCAGGTAGGTGAGCCGGCGTAACTCCTGTGCAACCATGGCCCCTGCGTAGATCTCAGCCTCACAACTGGAAGTGAGAACAGAAGACGAGCGGGTAGACCGCCACGAAACAGAGCCGGAGCCAAGGCTGAAAGTGTAACCCTGTGACGACCGCTGCGTAGCCAAGTCGTCAACCCAAGAAGCGTCTGCGTGGCCAGTGAGGACAACTCGAGCCCGTCCTCCAAGCACGAGCCCCATGCCCGACGTACTGCACAAGTAGCGCAACACCCTCTTAGCGGCCTCCCAGTGCTCTGGTCGGTGTCTCCCGGGCGCAACGTAGCGTGCCAGAATCCCAACCACTAGACCACTGGGATAAAAGGGCTTGTTAAGTAGCGGGTCAGTGCGCCCATAACCCCCCAGGCAAACGCGCCTGTAACCCCCCTAGGATCGATCCGGGATGTCACAGTGCAGCTCTACTGACACCCCCCCACACTGGGAGGGCCAGGACTGAGCACAGCGGCAACGGCCTACATGTGCATACACCGGGATTCGAACCCGAGACCGCTCTGATACCATGTCAGAATCCCAACCACTAGACCACTGGGATAAAAGGGTTGGGATTCTGACACTCACTAGTCTAGTGTATTAGCGCCGACAATTTAGGGGGGCTTAAATGTTATACCGAAGCAATGGGTTGACTTTCAGTACATATTTCTGGAATTTTTATTAAACTTATTACAGCTTCTACTACTTGAGACGGATTATGAGGATGAATATTAGTACTCATTCCTTCAGACAGACTTAATCCTTCTACGCGAGATCTCGAATTTCAACGACATACTGGCGCTCGCCGAACAAAAATCGATATTCAGGACGACCGAGGCCGGGGTCCTACCATTACGGACAACATATACAGGGTACGACCGAACATACCACGGTACACGCCGTTGCGACGAATGCAGCTGTCACACGATTTTGGGGACGCTGCTTCGCTGCAATAGGTCGGGCCATCACAAGAGCGAATGCCCAGAGGAGTTAAAGTGCCGAGGAGCATAGCAGGGGAGAGAGTCTGGGAGGCAGGGAAACGCCAGAAGTCAGTAGAGTACGGGCCCACTACTGACGAGACTCACTGCTCGCCCGACCCCACTGGCCCTCACCGAGTGGCTATACCGATTCACACAATCTATCGGGCTCAGCTGAATAAAGAGGATACATCGTCTGATTGCCCATTACTGATCCACGGGAAAGTTTTTATTGACGGAGGAGCTAGTCATAGTTTAGTTAATTCCGCAACTAGGAGGAAACTGCAACTGACACTTAGTCGCTGCTTATCAGAAATCGATGCACGGCTGGTTTACGGTACGCTACTGGCAATACGGGAGAAAGTGAAGAGAGTGAAGAATCGCTGTGGGGGAATTTTCAGATTTACACAGGAAATGCTTGCGACTACGCTGGATGGGACGGACATTTTACCAGGACGTGATTGGCTGCGACGGAACAACCCGCGAATTGACTAGACGACATGCAG